ACTGAGATTACCAAAATGGGAATACAAAAGATGAATCAAGAAAAGGATCTGGACATGGAACAGTTGTGACAAGAAATCCTGGACGATGCCTCTTTATGGCATTTACAAAGTAGGCTGGTGAAAGCTTTGAAGACTCCTTTTAAATGCCAAAGAGTGATGAAAGATCAAATCCTGCAATGCCATAGGAATGATTTAAAGGTCAAGATTGTGCACAGCAAAAATAAGGAATATAAAGTTGGACTATTTGACCAGGGGTAAACTATTTCTTGGATATTTCTGGTAACTCCCAATGGACTTTTTGCAGAACCAAGACTGAAAAGGTAATGATTTCTGGATTGTATATAGATAAAATTTAGGTATATAGATAAAATTTAGGAAGAAGAGAGGGTTTTTTTTATTTGTAACTTTAAAAGAGGGTGAAAAGTTACTATATTAGCTTATGCTCGGTGTGATGAAGGTTGGAAGCCACTTCTTTATCACTGTCTTTGTTGCTTTCTTCTTCTTCTTCTTTCTTCTACTTTTCTCTTCTTGTTTTGTTTTTTCCTGCACCTTGTGAAGTTTTTTTCTTTTTTCTTCTAGCTTACTTTTTATTAGTTTGCATTATGTTTAATAAAAGCTTCAATAAAATTATTTTTTTTAAATAAAAAAAGTGGTACTTGTACTTGTTCTTTGCTTTCTATAGCATCATGCAGGTCTTTAGGTTTCACCAGAACATGAGGTTACTCTAAGCAGTCAGCTAAATGTGCTGTGTGAATGAACTGTCTGAATTCTTTTGGGCTCTCAGAGTCTCTTCCCTCATATATATTTCATTTTGGAAGGCAACATCAATATGAGTTTGTTGCAAGGCACAATCAGTTTGAAGAGCATGCTTAATTGGACACGGCTTAACTGAAGAGAAATGAAGTCTGTGGGAGAAGGGAAAGGAGTAAAGATTGCAAGGAAAGAGAAAGAGTTAAAGTTGTTACAACAAACTTGCACAAGCAAATTTCCAAGTCTACTGTAGTCTAACAGCTCCATATAGTAATCCTTGGGTTCCTCTTTCATAATTTTTCTACCTAAGTGAGACTGCAAAGAATTAGATAAACAACTCTCAGGTCAAAGTTTCTAGATCTTACATAGTATCTAAGCATTACATATAATGCATCTAAGCATGTCTGCAACTTCTCTCTGATGAATCATTGAACTTCCAAAGTGCATCCATTCATTTAGGCTGGATTGTAAAGGTAGGAAAATCTTTGAGAGGGGGGGTGGTCTGCTCCTTCCTCAAGAAACCACTGCTGGACATATTGGAGGCCTTGTAGTGCAACTCCAGAGAACCCTGGAGAAAGAAGATTATCTGGACCCCTTTCAGTTAGGTTACAGGCCTGGGATGGGACTGAGACAACATAGATCTCATTTGTGAATGACTTCTGGCAGGAGCAGGACAGAAGTGGTATGTCCATCCTTGCTCTTGAACACTTGATGGCTTTTGATACCATTGATCATCATATCCTTCTGGACCAACTCAGGGAGTTAGGAGTGAGGCACAGTGTTATAGTGGTTCTCTCCTTCTTCCAGTACTGGTTCCAGTCAGTGTTGTTGGGATATGGGGAGAGTTTTAATTCTACAAATGATGCATCTTGAAATACAATAAGCAACTTACTATGAGGTTATCTTCTTGTTTTTGCTGATTAAAAAAGCATCATTGGTGAGGGAGTTCAGTATTATTGCAGGATACAAGATGTACTTTTCAAAACACTGAAGCCACACATACAGTCTCTCAAACCACATTAAATGAGCAGCAGCTGAATTAAAAAAAAAAACCTTTTATGAAATCATGTGTAATACAAATAACAAATAGTGTCTAAGTTTCTTATACGCCATTAAGAGATTAATAGTTTACACAGGTTATTCATTCATTTAAAATAATGAATGTTATTACTTCAATATATTCTAAATATCTTGTTCTTCCTTAAAAATATGAAACATGCACTAAAAACTCCCTAAAATATTTCAGATTGTTTCTGATCATCTGAAAAATTAGGTGTCCATTAAAGACTGCCCAGGAATGCAAGCAACCCTGAATAAATAAATAGCGTATCAGTGTTCTGTAAAGTGGGAGCTGAAACAGCTGAAAAGTGCACCATAAAAAAAATGAGGCAATGCTATTGGGAGGCACAAACTGCTGTAGACTTGTCTTAGCCTTGTGAGTGTGCAGCATTCAACTAATGAAATCAGATAGCTGCATCATGGAATTTGCAAGCACAAAGAAAACCCAATATTTTAAGGGCTACGGGTTATTAAACTGAAGGTGTTCAGTTCAAATAACTTTTGTTCAGAATTGTGATATATATGTTTTTCTCCCTGTCTCTTATTTTTATTTTTTACTATAGCTTACATTTGGAATGAGTTCCTCACCCTATCTTGAAACGTTTAGCTGGGCTGCAGTCCTCAGCTGACTTTGGGTACTCAGAAAATTAAGCAGGGCTGAACCTCTTCAGTAATTGGACTGGAGACAATAAGAGAATCCTAAACTGTAGTCTAGACTGGAAAGTGGGCAAAACACTCCAGGAGGTGGCAATGGCAAATCACTTTTGTATTGTTGCTAAGAAAACCACACCAATATGTTCATGAAGTGAAAAGGAATTGAGATTGACTTGAAGGAGACATTTGTTTTTAATTTGAAATGCATTTAATCTTATAATACTGTATATTAAGAACAGAATACTTGATGTACTGTATCTTTTACGTTAAGAGATGAGAGGGCTACCTCACATCTTAAATGCATGTAATGCCATCGAGTCACAACACATTAAGAACTTGTTATTAAATTTAATTTTATGTGGATAATGTTTTCTTAACACTCTCTTTGTTGTTCTGCAAGAAACACTGTGCTGTAGTCATTATCTGAATTTCCTGGTATGCTCTATATCCATGATATTGTTTGGAAGTTAATTTCTGCTCTCTTATAATGCATTCTTTTTAGGATGTTGTTTTTTCCCCCTACACAAAATCAGTTGTCAGCTTGATTTTGAGAGGAGACTGAGATAATAGAAACATCCTGTTTTCTGACATCCTTTTCACCTAATATGTCAAAAAATACGCATAGAGAGTCATTAAAATGGAGACCCATCAAAACTTGTCAAGAAGTTTCTAAACTGAAGTGAGCTTAGGGTCCCTGAAGACAGCCAGTTAATGAAAAGACAAGGTTGCTTCTAGCTGAGAGATTTACAGGAAAACTAAAACTATGCCTGTAATTTTAGAGATATTTACAGCCATCCCTACTTCTCAACACAGCAATGTCATGCTCATTATTTGGGAATAATAAACTAAATTAAATAAATTAAATTAAATTATTAATAAATAGTGCTATTTGCTTTTAAGTGTTACCTGGTGAGCAAAAAATATAATCTTATTACAAAGCTTAAAGTTGCATTTTGCTAAAGTACAAATATAGGGCTTGCTAAAATTGTTTATCAATATATGGATTAAAACTATCTGGTTACAGTTTAATAAAATTATATCAATCCATAATGTTGTCCAAGGGCTAATTCACACAATGATCATGCACTTGAGGATTATTAGAATTGTTGCCTATTTTGACTTCCAGTTGATTCCAAAGTTGTTTTCTTCAAATAATATTGGAGAGTGTTGGCATACAATCACAAATATCCTTATCCCACTTCACCTCACATTGAAATTCAGGTTTCTTCCACCTGGTACCTTCCAAGTATGTTGGATCTCAACTCCATAATTTCCCTAGTCAGCATGGTCTTTACTGGCTCCAAATTATGGGAACTGAAACCCAGCATATCTGGAAAACCCCAACTTAAGAAAGACTAATTGATGAGCTTTATTAGATAAGAGTAAAAGTCTATCAGTATAATATTAATCCTGAAGACTAAGCTACAAATGATGAAAGAAAATAATGAAAGAAAATAGCTTAGAGAACAAATGTAAATTTAGCAAGCAGCTTCCATGTATAGCAATTTGCAACATACAAACATGAAGGGTATGATGATTCTTGCAATATTTGATGCCTATGTTCTTAATACATTTAAGAGTGATAAACATTACCACTAAGTATAGCTAGCATGTTTGAGCAGCAAACATTCAAGCGGTCTAGAGCATAAGAATGGCAAGAAAGGGTTAGTTTTCTCCATTTCTTTGCTACAATCTCATGGTTCCCTGGATTTTTGCTGTCCAGATATGGTAGCCCTATTCTACCCCAATCTCTTCTCCTGGTGTCTTACTGGCAGGCTTCCCCACCTAGGTGCCGTCCAAATAGGTTGGGGCTTCAATTTCTAGAATTCCTAGTCAACTGGGCTGAAGGCCATGCTGGCTGAAAATTCTAAGATCTGCAGCCCCAGGTTTTGATGAAAAGGAAAGCAGGTTGGGGAAAACTGCTCTTTAACAAGTACTGAGAAGGCTCATCTTAATAGTTTTGCTATTATTATATTTTTTTTCTATATTATTATCTCTACACTTAGTAGTGATTTCTACTTCTGTCTAATTATAATTTCCTCTTTATTTCATGATTCGCAATAATGCATAAAAAATCACATTAACTTTAATGTAAAGCATAATACACAGTATCATTTAAAACATTTGTGTTGGGGGGACCCAATGTATTACATACCTCTCACTTCTCTCTGCCGATATTCCTTATTTTTAAGGATAGGATGGGATATCCACATCCATGGATGATGTTTGCGAAGCTGAGGGATTATGTAGTGTGTTATGAATCCCACAGTCCATGCAAAAATGAAAAGCACCAGGCTGAGAACTTGCTGAATTAAAAGGAAAAGGAAGCAGAAAGAGACTAAATCTCATGTTATGTACTTAAACCATTTTTAATTTAAAACATTATTTTGATGAAACTTTTTTTCAGTTAGAATTGCCTTTTTTCCCAAAAGTACATTATTGAAAAGGTAACTGAGAAATGAAAGAAAAAGCTTTATTTTCTTTTATTAAATGGTTTCATTGTACAAAATTTTCTAATACTGTAGCTGAAGGAAAAAAAGAACAGAAGAAAGAAATGTTCTAGTTTTGCAAGAAATTTGTTCACAGCCAAAAGACATAATTGTGTTCAGGGATAAAAGGTAGGAAATGTCTTCATGTGGAATATTAGTGGAATGCAAGATGAGGAGCTCGAAGTGTGCAAAATACAAAAATGGAACAAAAATATATCCTTCAATGTACTAAATATTGATAAATTGTAATAAAAGTTGGAAAGGAGGGCAAATACATATTGGTGAACACAACAGAGTTATTTGAAATTGTGAATGAATTAGTAGGTACTATTCCATATCTTGTAAGTAATAGATGGAACCATGTTGATTTTCCTCTTCTTGTGGAGACATCCATGGTGCCACCACTGTACGTATCTCTGGCTTTAGTTGTCAGTGCCCATAGATGCTCCACAAAATAGTCTTGCATGAACATAAAGTTAACCCAGCCTTCCCTGCCTTGGGCCCTTCTAAAAGCGCTGGACCACAAGTTTTTTGGGTCCATGATAGATGCAGAAATAATCCTAATGTAGAATATATGGAGGGAATCAGATTGGGGAAGGCTAGGCTAACCTTTTTTTAAAATTAAAATATCTTTATTTTTTGGTAACAAAACAATATTTAATCTTAATAAAGAAATAAAAAAATAAAAATACAAACTAAAAATACAATCTAAGAAGGAAAAGAAAAAAAATCTATCTTATATTTTAAACTTATCAATAGTCACTGGTTTACCAATGAATTCACTACTATAATATAAACAATACAAGATATTATTGTAAGACATTGCACAATCTCTGGCATAATAACACATATTGCTGCATCCTTTGAAATAGTGCCCTTTCAAAAGAAAAAAAAACACCCACTTCCAACAACCATTGCTTGACATCTGGCTAATCTTACTTTAAAAAGTTCATCCTGTGGTGGCTAAGTAATGTTCACTTCCATTTTTAAACATCTGCAGTTTACTGTTATACCCAAATTCTTAACTATGGCTTATAGAAACAAGCCAGCTTTATAGCCTTCGGATTGAAGTGTGCTTGCTTCAGGAAACTATCATAAATGCCAGCTATGCCCTTAGAGACAGAACACCAGGTAAGGACCCCAGGCCCCACTGGGTTTGCTGCTGAAATGACAGACCAGGACAAGGAACATCTGGCTTGTCAGTTCAGCCGGTAGTCAGGTGCACGCCACTGTAGAGCATAGTATACTTCCTTAGCCTGTCAGTGACCAATCAGCTACGGTCTTGAAGCATATCCACACTGAGAGCCATAAATTAGTAAGGGGACAGGCTCTTGTTGCACTGGTGCTTTCACTGGTGGGGTATTTGCAAAGCAGGAAATAATAGGTTGCTGCTAACCTAGGCAAATACCTTAAACCTTAACATAGGATGTGTGGGGCTGTTGCCCTACCTCAGCCCACACAGCATTTAGTGCTGGCAATGAGAAAGAGGAAAAGGAAAAGAAAGTGATGGTCAATGGTAAGGAGAAAACAGATGGTAGCGAGAAGGAATGAAATGGGAAGAGTGAGGTGGCAGATCGTGGGTGGGATCAAGGGGGTAATAAGAAGGAAAAGAAGACAGAAAATGACTGGCAGTGAAGGAAAGACGTAGCTAACTGGTGGAATATAAAACATTTTAAATTCAAATAGCAGCAGATTCAAAGCTTCCTACTTGAAACAGACTCAAATCCCAAAATAAGCTATTTTAGACCATTCAAGATGTGTTTTGAGCTCAAAATAGCTCTGTTTGGATTCTGGCATGTTCCATTTTGAGCTTGAAACCCTTCCAATATGAATGAAATAGCTTGTGATGCACATAAAACGAATGTTCCAAACTTGAAATCAGGCATTTTGAATTCAAAATGTTTCAAATTCAAAATGTTTTGCAGATCCCTAGAGGTGACCTACTTTCTTTTTCTTGGATCCTCCTTCATTCAGCTGCATGTCTCCACTATTAGCCCTCTTCTTTTCAAGTCGTCGTTTTTTTCCTGCCAAACTGACTTCCCATTTCAATTCAGGAAAGTAGGACAGCCTTGAATGTCTCATAGTTGACCATTTTCCTCAACATTTAGAACGTTCATAAATATTCCCAAACATAACATTACCTCAGCCATGTTGTGTCAAAGGATTTGTTACTGCTGCCACAAAATCTCTTAGTGCCATTATGCTATAATTGCTATATATTTGTAACTAGACTCTTAGTGCATGAAATAATATGAAATACCCGTTACCTCTCACAAGCAAACATCTATTACCCTGCTCTGACTTTTAAAGCAGTCTGATACAGTATCAAGTTGCTTTGAATAACAGATATAGTATCTTAAAAAATAACAACACAGAAGGAAAGAAATGGTAATACTAACCCCTAATGACAAGAAAACGGTACTGGCACTGACTGCAAATGATAGCACAGCAGCCACAGAGCACACAACGAGATCTGATCTCAAGGTTTCCCTCTGTGAATATAATTTTTAAAATATAAGAATACAAGTAAAGACTCATTTGACTTACAAAATCAAACTACTTCCTCCTCTGCAGTTAACAGTTGCATAATAACTACAGGAGTCATGGCTTTAAAGAATCTTCCCCCTTGCATTTGTTCAGTGTTCAGGCCAATGTGTTGGTAAAACTTCTTGAATCCAGGTACATGGTTTATCTAGTGCACCCACTCCACAAGGACAATTTAAATGAATGAGGTTATACAGGAACAACCCTTAGTGCACTCAGAGATGTCAGACTGGGACGAACTGATTTTAGTTTCAGACACAACCAACATGTTCACAGTGGCCAGATCATTTCTCAGTTAAAGGTATGACTGAAGATCGTTGTAAGGAAAAAATGGAGGAGGGGCAGGACAGACTTTCTTCAATTACAAGGAAGGAAGGAAGGAAGGAAGGAAGGAAGGAAGGAAGGAAGGAAG